CTTATATTTGTCAAATATTTATTAACTTCTCTAGCTCTTTTGTATGCTTCTTAAGAGAAAATAGCTTCTGGGTTTCTCTAATAACCCATGGATTTTTTTTTTCCCTCATAAAAATCTTCTGTGGTCATCTCAGGGCTTAACATCTCCCGCATTCATCCTCTGTGATCAGCAGAGGATCTGGGAAGAGCAGAAACTTCACATCAGACAGGTTCAGCTCATGGAACTGAAAAAGGTCTCCTGGTCCCAAGCAGAGATGGGGCCCTGGTAAAAAGGGCAACTCATTTACCCTCTTCACACTACATCCTGTAGTCCCTAGTAGATCACCATGGTAGAGGATCCTTCTGCTAGCTGCTCTTGCAATGTATAAGGTTCCTGGGTGCCTTCCCCAGGGTTATGGCTTCCTGTTACAGGTCACTCAGGACACTGTGGACTTAGAGGCCATACAAGAAAGCAGACCCTTAGGACTCTGAAGCATGTCAGTAGGGGATATGGTGACCACTTGTCCCCCCAAGTCTGGCCCTGTCCACAGTATAAGCCAGGAAAGGCCTCTGTGCCTCTGGGAGCAGGCATGACCACTAAAAGACCAACTTCCTGGGACTTGGCTGTCCCCAGTTAAGTTTGCTCTCCACCCCACTTCTTCCATGTATTCCCTTTGTGAAAACCTTGGGTCAGAGTTTTTAATGAAATAATGGATTTGAAATATCTTAAAAGCTTTGAAGTACTTTACAAATGGTTATTCACTTAAGATAGGTCTGCAGTCAGAACTTAGAATGTGCGATACTATTTAGATCCTAGAAAAAGACCTGCTTTTTCTAGCTGTTTTCTTTATTCATTGAACATATATTTACTGAACCATTAAGGCCCTGAGTTAGGCATTAGAGGACAATGCTAAACACAAATAAAAAGACCTTGTTCTTCTGTTGGGGAAATGGACAATGAACTTAAATAAAACATAAAATAATTAACAGTGTAATAAGTGATCTCAAGGAAATAAGGTGCTGTACTAGATAATTATTGGCTGGACATATTGATAGAATATGCACAAGAAACCCTTTAAGGAAATTATATTGAAAGTGAAACTTACTGAGTGAATAGGAGCCCACTGTGCAAAGATCAAGAGAAAGAGTGCTTCAGGAACGGGAATTCCAAATGCAAGAGCCTGGAAGCAGAAACAAACTTGACATGCTTGAGCAATATAAAGATAGACAATGTAATCACAACACAGTAGACAAGAGGAGAAAGGTAAAGGATAAAGTCCCAGTGACCAGCAAGCACCATGTTATGTAGACCTTTTAGGCCAAAATACGGGATTGGGGATGTTATTTCAAGTATGATGAGAAAAGAGTTTGACAATCGGTCATGTCATTTGTGTTTTTAAACATATCACTTCTACTGCTTTGTAGATAATATACTTACAACAGCAAAGCAACAGTAAAATCAGGGAGACAAATCAGATACTTTTGTAGTGATCTAGGCAAGAAATGATGAATCCTGGAGTGTAGGGGAAGAGGAAGGATAGAAAGTGAAATTAACATTTTAGAATTTTAATTTAAGTGTGAAATCATAATTTAAAGGTAAATTTTACCAAAAAGACTTGCTGACAGTGGGAGATGGAAGGGAAGAAAACAAGGGTGCCTTCTAGGTAAGAGACTTTGTTGATGGCTCTTGCCTGAAATGGGAAAAGATAGGAGGAAGAGAGTTTGGGAGAAAAAAAGAGTGCAAATTCTGCTTTGGACAGGTCACTGAGTAAGCAGTTAGATAAATGAGTTGGGGACTAAGTAGACATTTATATAGGGGCTGAAAATGCAAATTTAGAAGCCATCATTATTTAGAATTTACATGGTATTCAGAATCATGAGACAGAATGAGATGATTTTAGGAAGTGAGTGTAGATCGAGAAAATGAGAGATCTGAAGACAGACTACTTAATTAAAGGTAGGAGATGAGAAGGAACTGGCAGTGGACACTAAGAAAAAAATATCCAGAAAAATGTAAGGACAAACAGGAGAAAGTATTCCAGAATCAAGAGAAGAGTTTCTAGAGGAGGTAGCAATCAAATAATACAATTTTGTCCAGATGGTAATTAAGATAAAGACTGAGAATTGACTTCTGGATTTGGCAATGTGAAGGTTGTTGATGACCTTGACAGGAGCTGATTCTTTCGAGTGGGCTAGGTAGTTTAGTGGAGAATGGAAACCAGATTAATGTAGTTTAGAGGATAACTGGAGGTGAAGAAACTCTCCTTTCAGGGAGTTTTGTTATAAAGTGGAATAGATAATGGAGCCACCCTAGGATGGATTATTTTACAGCCTCTTTGGTTACTGAAGTGAATGATTCAGTAGGGAGGGAGTGACTATTAAGGCAGAAGAGAGGAGATAATTTCAGGCAAGAAACCCTTAAGTAGATGAGAGGGGTGCAAAGAGCCACTACAAAAGAAAAGGGAGCAGGAAGGAAGATAGAGAACGCAGGTTTGGTGCAGTTGGATGGTAGATTTTGTGGTCAGAAAAGGAACGTTCATTCATTCATTCATTCATTCAGCAATTTCTGAACTACTGTGTGCTTGATCTATTCTAGGGACAAGACATAGCAGCAGTAAATGGAACAAACAATGCAAAGCTTGTGCTTTCATGAATTTTTACATTCTGTTGAGGGGAGTCAAGCAATAAATATGCTAATAGGCAAATGTATACTAAGTTGGAAGGTAATAAGCACAATGGAAGATAATAGGTCAAGGATTTACAAAGAGCTGGAGAAGAGGAGTGAATTTTTATTGGGTAATGAGCAAAGTACTTTATGACAAAGGAACATTTGAGAACAGAGGTAAAGAACATGAGGAACCTAAAGGACATTAGCTGAAGTAGCGGAACAGAGCGAACAAGGAGAAGACTTGTAGGAGACGGGAAGACAGGCAGGCCAAACATCTTACAGACAGCACTAGAGGTGAAGACTCCAGCATTACTCAGAGTGTTAGGGGAAACTACTAGAAGGGTTTGAGGACACATATTACATGATCTGACTTACATTTTTAAGGCATTCCTTTGAGTGCTGTGGGACTGGATTATGGGAGGCAAGAATGTGAGTGCAGATCACACATAGGAGACTACTGCAGTAATCCAGGCAGGAAATGATGTAGTTCTCTTCCAATTACTCTTATTTTCTCAATGATGTAAGAAGCAAAATCTTCAAATGAGAGTGAGCAGAGCATGATAGAGGCTTGAGGAGAGAGTAGAGGTATGATAAAAGAAATATGATAGGAGTATTGCTTAAACAGCTGACTATGGTGAGCAGCTTGCCAATAGGCTTACTAATCTCAGAACCTCTGGGATCTGTTAGCTGTGCACTGCTCTTCCTTGTGTCATTTTTCTACTGTCATCCTGTTTCTTGTTTTCTGACTCCAGATAGGTTTGAGAGCTCTAACATGACAGCCTGCTAGCACATCCAGCTTTTTATACCAAAGCCTTTAGAAGAATTTGAGAGAGGCCCTAAGAGTTCTCAGTTCTTATGTAGAGACTACTCTCTATGTCATTGAGGGAGGCCTGCAGAGTTCCCTGCTCCTATTAATACCATATTCTCCTGCCTGCGATGTAAATCACAGCAGGATTTGAGGGAAACCCAGGGATTCCTTAGGTTCTATATTAGTCACTTTTGCATAGCTGTGGCCAAAATACCTGAGATGAACAACTTATAGGGAGGAACGATTTATTTCGGCTCATGGATTCAGAGGTTTCAGCTCATGGTTGCTTGGCCCTATGTACTTAGGTAGAACATCACAGTGGTGGAAGCTTGTGACGAGGAGGTTCTTCAACTTGTGGCAGGTAGAAAGCAGAGAGAGGCAGGAAGGACCTAGGGACAAGATACCTCCAAGAATCTACCCCCAGTGACTTACTTCCTCTAACTATGTACTACCTTCTAAAGTTTCCAGAACTTCCCAAAATAGTGCTTCAATACTTGGCACTATTGTGGGGCGGGGGGAGGCTTGTAAGCTAAATATACTGTAGATAGTGAAAAGAATTGAATTATGTAGCTTCAAACCTATGTAATCTCACGATGTCAGCTCCAAGTGCTTTTGAAGTGACAGGGTCTCTGACACAGCAAATGGCTGTTTATATTCTGAAGTGAATAAAATGCTGACTCTTAAAAACTAGACAACAATTCTCTTAGTAAAGACCAGTTTATTAATTTATTTTTTGATTCACTGAATCATATCATAACTTGTGATTCATCTATGTGTAAAAACTGTGTAAACAGTATGGACATAAGCAATCTGTGAGAATAAGGAGGTAAAAGAATACACTTGGATTATTACTGGGATTTAAACACCCTTTATCTCAAGAAAATGAAGCGCAAGCCTATGTTCCATTTTTGTTGTAGGATTTTCTCAAGGAAACTCTTCTTTTAAGAACCATCATTTCTAGAGCATCATCAATATCGAAATACATTACATCTGTGCAGGTAGAGGATATAACAATATGTACTGAAAACTATTGAATAATAGGGGGTAGGGGAGAAAAGGTAAGGGAGAGTAACAGAGGGGATTGAACTGACCAAAGTAAAATATATTCACAGCTGGGACACATCAAGAAACCCATTTGAACATTGACTTTGGAATTAAAAATGAAAACAAGGCTATAAAATAGGTAGGGACAGTGGGAGGTGGTAGCACAAATGGAGATGAAGGTGAGGGAATATGGTCGATGGGCTTTGTATACCTATATGAAATAGAATGATGAAACCTCTTGAAACTGCTTTAAATGGGGTGGGGAGGGGGTTGGAGGGAGATGGCAGGGGCAAACTAACCAACGTACAATGTAAGGCTATTCCGAATTGTCACAATGAATCCCTTCTGTACAAATAATATATACTAATAAAAATGAAAAAAAAGACTCTTCCCGACTGGTATGAGAGCTGGGAGGAAACAAAATTTTCCAGCCATGGTGAGTCTTCCAGAAAGTAGATATCCATGATTATAAAATAACCTCTTTTTTCTTCTGTTTGACCAGGCTGTGACAACATGCTGGTGGGTATAAAGTCCCTGAAAATAGTGAAGAAGACTATGGACACAGATGGCTCTTGGATGAAAGACACTGGCAGTAACTCCACAAAAGTATATTTCTAATTGGACCCAGAAACAACATTGTTTGGGAATTTGCAAACATGCGGGCATTCGTGGAGGACAGCACCAAGCCAGCCCCCCGGAAACTAATCCTTCCACTTTCCTGGCAGGGATCAGGCCAAGCCATCTACAAAGGTTTTCTATTTTTTCACAACCAAGGGACTTCTAATGAGATAATCAAATATAATCTACAGAAGAAGATTGTGGAAGACCGAATGCTGCTCCCAGGAGGAGCAGGCCGAGCTCTGGTTTACCAGCACTCCCCATCCACTTACATTGACCTGGCTGTGGATGAGCATGGACTCTGGGCTATACACTCAGGGGCAGGCATACAAGGGCATTTGGTTCTCACAAAAATCGAGCCTGGCACATTGGGAGTGGAGCACTCATGGGATACACCATGTAGTAGCCAGGATGCTGAAGCCTCATTCCTCTTGTGCGGGGTTCTCTACGTGGTCTACAGTTCTGGTGGCCAGGGCCCTCATCGCATCACATGTGTCTATGATCCACTGGGCACTATTAGGGAGGAAGACCTACCCAACTTGTTCTTCCCCAGGAGGCCAAGAAGTCACTCCATGATCCATTACAACCCCAGAGATAAGCAGCTCTATGCCTGGAATGAAGGAAACCAGATCATTTACAAACTCCAGACAAAGAGAAAGCAGCCTCTGCAGTAACAAACTGCAGTCAGGAGAGAGTTACTGTGGCTTTGGTAACTGCTTTCTAGGGCACTGAGGCCACAACCCCTTTACAGTGTAGCATCCCTCTAGTCACAAACAAGAATAGGGTCTACAAGTGGGAATACAAATGTCACTACTTTACATATCATACAAGAGCTTAGATGAGGGTCTATTATTCAGGAATTTTCAACACCATCCATTCCTCATCCAAACTTACTGGTCTTTAAGGCCTCCCATATTTTGATCCAGCTTATGCCCAGCCTTTTCTTTTCTGCTCTCCATCATTTGCTGTAACTCTACCCCTCCTCCCAACAAGTAGACTCATGCCACCTGCTGATACTCACTGGTCCCTTCTCTTGGGGCCTTTGCTTAGGCTCTTACAAATATTCTTTAATTTTTTCACTGTCTACTTAAGTACTATTTCATAGGTTTAATCTTTATTTTCCCTAGTCATGCCCTTTCCCCAAGATAGGTGGATATAGTAATAGAGTAAAAACATTAACATTTGAATACGGCTTTCTAGTTGCAAAGTATTTGCACATTACTTCTCTTCTCACCATTGTGAGATATGTACAAGTTTCTACTCGTGTTAATCTGGGGATAGAGTTTAGGTGAGCCATTCAAAGTAGCAGAACTATAAAATGAAAGAGCTAGAAAATACTACAAATTTCAGTCTTTCCATTGTCCAAAGAAGCATCAGATATGTATTTTTGTTCATCCAGCCTTTTATAACCAATGTGTTCATCAGTTCAGCCTAAAAATAACAGTCTGATCTTTAGCTAGTTTTCATGTCTACACAAGACATTCCTATAGGTTTTTCAAAAGCTTCTTTCCTCAGAAACCCAACCTAAAGCTGAGGGCTCCACCTCTGGTCTCTTCTTGTCTTACTGCCATCTGCTTCTCTCTTCTTACTTTAAATACAATAAAAGTGAGATTAAGCAAATAACCTCATCAAGTTATATTTGCTTTCATACCCTCAGTTTAAGAGCTTTCAGGGAGTGCTGCCTGTGCTGAGTTTACTGTGAACAATCCCCACCCCCCCATCCAGAGGCCCTTGGTAAATATTCTGGAATCTGGATGGAAGCCAGATAGCAGAGAAGCAACACTGCCCCAGCAGGCGTGCTGTGTGGCACAGAGGGCAGTGTGCCACTTGAGAGGGACTTCTTCAAAGTATCTCCCATGTGTGTCCATTTCAGCTGAGTTTGGATCACAAGTGCAGGCTGCAGTGCCAGTCTGTGTCATGTGCTGAGGCCTCTGTCTTTCCAGGTTGATCACATGAGAGGGCTTGCTTTGTGTGCTTGCAGCTGTTTCCCTGTCTTTGCCAAGTCCAGATCAGAACCATAGGCAGTGAAGAGAGATTTTTCCTCTCATAGTATCTGAGTAGATCTCTGGCCGAATGGAATTAACTCAACCCATGGAGACTGTGTAATTATCTATAGTTATAATGGAATGGCATGGAGAATCCAAATCTTTTGTGGAATGAAGCAGGGATAAATGAATGAATGTGCTAGTATTCCTTGGGCCTGGGGTCATTACCTGCTCCATGAGTAAAGTCACGTTACCTCCATCAATGGAAGATGGAGTGGAATTATCAACAGCAGTGAGTTCTGCACATTTGATTCCTTTGGAGGCAAGAGAAGAATTTGTCTGTAATGTGCTGTGTGGTTTCCATCTGGGGGATATGCTTGGATTTGGCAGTTCTGCAGGGGACACCTGCCCCTAGCCACTCACCCTGGTACCTTGAATTCCTACAGCTAGAATTCCTCTTTTAGGTCATTGCATTTTCTCCAGGAGTCCCCTATGAACTGCCACTTTGCTGGATAGCATGCAGGCTTGGGAATACCTTCTTGGGTATCTTTCACGTGAACTTTTCAGCTCTGGGGTCTCTTGTATTTAAGTGAGAATTGATGTCTCATCAATCCTAATGATTATTAAATTTTGTTGCACATAAAAATCACCCAGGCTACACCTGTATCCCATTAAATCAGATCTTCTAGGGGTAGGACCTAGATATTAGCATTTTTAAAACCCCTTCCCCGAACATGGCTTCAAAGTGTAAATAAACTTGAGAACCAATTACATAGAACATTAAAAAAAAAAACCCTAATTGAATATTTCTAAGAACAGGCTAGCATTTGGAGTGGGGGGCAGTTAGGTTAAGGGCAGTGGTTCCCCTGGAGCAGCACTTGTGGGATTTGGAAACACCCATGAACTCGTGTGAACTGTGGTAGGCTCTGTCTTCAAAAGCCTCTCTGCTGCTATTTTAAGGAAGTAAAAGTGAACTGAAGGCTGTCCTGCTGAAACACAACTCTTTGTGGGCCCCAACCTTCCTCTGCTGGCTTTGTCTCTGCTCTGCTGGTCAGGCTTCTGCAGTGATCACATATTTCCTGTTTGCCAGGGTGGCTTATGTTCTGTAATTTCACAATACCGAGGCAAATTTGGTCTGGAAAAAAAGATGTGTCCCATGGAGTTTTTCAACACTATCCTGTAGATAACTGGAGGCCAGGTCTGTAGTAACTCCTGCCAGAGTTGACTACACCAGAGTTCCTGGTGTCACTGCCATTTGAGGCCCATGGGTGTTTTAACTGGCTGAACTGAGCAGCTGATCCTTGGCAACCACCTGGTGATACAGCCTCAAGCCACACACCGTGGGTAGGTACTGGATTCGGTCTGCATGGTCCAGTCCTCCTGTGGTCAGACATCACCAAAGCTTTTCTTAGATGTATACAGTACCTGACCTTGGTGCTGGGCACAGGAAATGCTCTCTGTCTTCTGCTATTCACAACAGCTGGCGCCAGAGCTGTACTTCACCGTCAACCACTAGAGGGACCCCCACAGGAGGTCGCGGGGTTCCCACGCAGCCGGACCTAGGTGCCAGGGGAGCTTTCCAAACCAGGGGTGAACTGGGCTTGGCTCAGACAGGGAATGAAGCTGCCCTCAGGCCAATCTCAATCTCCATGGGATCGCACGTGGACCGGGGAGTCGGACGGCTCACGGATTGCTTTTCTGGGTATGCCTCTTATCTACATTTTCGTTGCTTCTTTCTCTTTTCGCAGTTCTCCGGAAAAAAGTTCTTTGCTTCCTTTGCTTTTCATCTTCCAGCGTCTCTTGCTAAGAAGAGGACGGGTTGCAGAAGCCCAGCACACGCAGGGCACCAAGTCGCGCAGGGACTTTGCTCCCTGGCATCACTACGGCCGGAAGGGACGGGGTGGAACTTGCAGGTCAGGCTCCGCGAGGGGCGCGGTCTGTCTGGAGGGGCGGAGTTGGGGCGGGCAAGCCGAGTGCGGGGCGGGGCTGAGCAGGCAGGTCTCTGGGGAACAGGAACGGTGGCACACGTGTCCCAATGGTGCCCAAGAGGGAGGAGGAGTGACAGAGGGGCGGTCCCAGTGGAAGGTCCCAGCGGTACGAGAGCGACACTTTGGGACAAGCCTCCCGCAGGGTCCCCGCCTCCGTCACGTGCACGTTGTACTCGGCCGCTGCCGGTCGGTCCGCTGGTTGGTCCGGCAGTTGGTTGGTGGGCCAGTGGCCTGTTGCTGGGTTCTCGGCTCTCATGATCGAAGGTGGGAGGGACACGGGGAGCGGCCCGCACACCTGAGCTACCGGGAGAGAAGCCGCGGCTCCGCATCCAGGTCAGTGGGCTTACCCTCGACCCTCGGGCTCGCCCCTGTCTGGCCTGGGAATTTTGACATGGTCATTGCCTGGGGAACTGAGAGCTTCCTCCCATCCCCCTTCTCTTCCCCCCTCCCCCCGCCTCCGGCTCCAAGAACAACATGAGACAAGAGGGTTAGTGCCTCTTTAGGCCCTAGAACGTGACCCAGGCGCGAGGATGAGAACCCTTATACACGGGGTGTAACTCCGGTAGCTTTACTTCAAGATCTTCACCCCACTCTGCCCGGAGTCCGCGGACAGCCCACGCTCCTACAGGTGCCAGAATGGCCCTAGAGGTGCTGGGATAGTGAGTTATGTCAGTTCTGCGATGATATGTTGGAGCTCCGCTCAGCCCCTGGGAACAGCAACGTTAACCAGAGAGCCCAAGTGGTATGGAAATTTAGGACTGCTCGCTCAGGCAAATGGGTTCCACAGAGCCTGGGTCCAGATACAATGTCTTGTCTAGGAGCATTTCTATAGTGTAACTGCAAAAGTGCAACATACTTTCCAAAGGCTCAAGCAGCAGAAGACTGCGGGATGGGTATGGTCCGATTTATTTAAAAGTGGGTCTTTCTTCCCGCAAAACATCCTGACTCCAGAGCTGAGGTTTTTCTTCAAATGAAAATAGGATTATTTATTTCAATACTAGAACTTTCAAGATTTGGATAAGATTGAAAAAAGCATTCTAACTAGTACAAAACCAATTATATTTTTCTTTTAGAACATCTGGATATTTGGTGTAGATTCACCTCACTTTTCTTATTTTGGACTGTTTCCTGTCTTTCTCTTCATCTTTCTCCTTCTTCCACCCTTCCTTAATTGATTGTAATACAGAACTGACATTTTTGTAATTTTATGGTGTATTTTTTTACATTAAATGCTCAACTATAGAAAGGTAGTTGACCATTGACTTAATCATCTTAAATCTCAGATTATTGGTGGTATGTGGAAAACACAAAATGTTATCTGATTTAGAAATGATTTCTCTCTTGTGACTGAGAGAGGCAGCCCACTTGTATGCTTGTATTTTGTGTACATTTATATTAAATGACTTTGAAGTGAGAGATAAGGGACATTGGTGAGTTTTTCACTATTGCATTCATTTGGAATTTAATTTGTGGGGTGTGTGTGTGTGTGTGTGTGAATGCTGGGGATTGAATTCTTGGCCTTGTTCATGTTAAATGCTGTTTCACTGTGCCTACACCCTCACTGCTTATCTAACATATTTTAATTATTAGTGGTATACTTTGAGATTTGGTGATGTGCCACTCATTAGATTTTTGCTACTGGAGAGACATGCTGAACGCCATGATCTCTACTGGGGTAGCTAAGGCAGATGTGCTATGATTTTAGGACTTAAGTGGAATGAAATAAGTGAAAATAAAGACATAGGAACAAAGTTGTGGCAATTCTTATTTTTCATCTATACAGGAAGTATCTGGAATAATTTCAAAAGGACTGATGTATGTGAGGGACCTCTTAGAGTTTCTCCTGGATTTCAGATTTCTCTCAGCAGTGGAGGGTAGAGGTGACCTGGGCTGTAAGAGCTGCATAGGAAGGCAAGCTCAGACTAGCCTTAAGACACTGACTAGTGGTCAACCTTGGTTCCTATCATGGAAGGTGGACAAAAAACTAGTGACAGGATGGAACACGGTTCCTGCTAACCCTCAAGGCCAGTTGCAGAAGTCTGGACTTTGAAGACATGGGAGTCAATATCAGGTATTAAGAAGGGGACTGACTTCAGGTTCTTTGAGCTTCTCAAAGTCAGAGATTTTAACCCTTGACAACTTCCAGAGAAAATCTAGTAAAATATTTGTGGAATGAGTGGTCAGAGGATTTTAAAGCACTGTTTCTCAAACTTTACCAAGCCTGAGAATCACCTGAAAAGATACCTCCTTCAAATGCAGATTCTGACTTAGTAGGTCAGGGGTGGGACCTGGCATTCTGCATTTCTAACTTGTTCCAGGGAAAGTGCTTATCACCTCCCTATCTGTAGCAAGAATTTAGATTAGTAGTATGCAAACTGGCTAGGCTTCAGAATTGCCTAGGGAGCATTGCAACTACTTAGATTAAGTAGGTCTGAGATGATTTTACAAAAGTCCCCCAGGTGATTCTGATAAAATGTCAGGTGGGGAAGGCTGGTGATTCTGACAGTGCTAGGGGAGCAGCGTCCATAGGAAAAAGACAATGGGTTGGGGAGGCCTGTTAGGGGACTGGAAAGCCAATCTAAAAGCCCTTTTTTGGGGTCTGAGAGAGTGGTAAAGTGAAGTTATGGAGAAGAGACCTTGGGAAAATGGAATACATAGGGCAGGATCTTGGAGTGAGTCAGTCATTTGACTGGTTGGGTAGAATAATACATGAGGAGAGAGGACCAATTTAGGGAGATTTTGAGTTTGGACACAAGGAATGGTGTGCCCTTAAAATGTTAATGTTTGTAAAGTTTTTTTTTTTTTCCTGCAATACATATCTGTTCAGGATGCTGTCTTGTTTAAAGTCCTATTCTGGATACCCTAATGCAAAATATGAGAAAGAAGCATGATATAGACATAGCAAATAAGTCATCTAAACATTTATTAAGCTCCACAGATTGTGTACCCTCATGCAAGATGTGGTCTCTCAGTCAGCATTTGGTGTGGGCACAACTAGGCTGAAACTCTTGGCAGCTTTGTTTTTCCTGAGTCACTATTTTTCCTGCTTCCTCCTTCCTCAGAGGGGTGCCACTTCTCTTAGCCTGTATGTTTCCTAGCATCCTTCTTTCATTTTCAATGCTTCATGGCATCTATGTGTCACTTCCACCCCTCCTTTTTTTTTAAATAGAATCTAAGGAAGGCGATCTGTATCCTTTGCCCTTCCTTCCTTCCTTCCTTCCTTCCTCTCTCTCTGTCTATCTCTCTCTCTGGTGGTACTGGAGTTTGAAGGCAGGACCTCGCATTTGCTAGGTAAGGCCTCTTCCAGTTGAGTCACACCCCCAGGCCTTTTTTACTTTATTTTCTGCCTGATGCTGGCCTCAGACTATCATCCTCCTACCTAAGCCACCCTTATAGCTAGAATTGCAGGCATGCCCCACCTTGCCAAGTCCCTATAGAGCCTTAAAGCCAGGTCTGTTGGACCATGTGAATCTCACTAGGCCCATTCTTATCTCTGACATCTGGTAAACCATCTTCTAGGAATTGCTGGCCTACAGCTGAGTTTTAGGAGTTCTAGGGAGCTTTGTCTTCAATAAATTTTTGATTTCTATTGGTCTTAAGATCATTAGTTTGGTGTTTCTTGGTAGTTCTTGTTTTCATTTCCTCCTGTGTCTCTGTTACATACAAACATACACACTGAGAGCTGAACATTCATTGTGCTCAGGTTTTAATCATCTCTGTATTCCACTGTAGTGATCTTGGCTTTTATAACACATCTGTAGACACAGGATAGGATTACCTCTCCAGATAGGATAAAGTGTAACATTTTTGTGGCATTTAAGGCTGTGTAGAGGCTGGTCCTAATTTAGCTCTCCAGCTGCATCTCCAATGTTCCCAAAACTAAGGAACTCAACAATTTCTTTTCTTTGGTGCCTTGCTACCTTTCCACACACTATTTCCTCTTTCTGGAAATACCTGTTGTCTCTGATCTGCAACATAGATGAGCTCTTATTTGTCCTTTACATGCAGAGTGAACTCTTGAAACCCCCTTACCCCTCTCATGTCGTTTTTACTCTTTTCTCCTAATATTATGTACATATTGCAGTAAATGTAGATTGCTGTTGTGCTCCTTAACCACTGTAGTTTACATGTCTCTATCCACGCTCTGATCTGCTTTATAGCTGCATTAGCTCTTGTGTGTGTCTCCACACTTGGCAGGTGTTGGCAGGACTTTGTGGTACATGCAAGTCTTGATCTGGCTAACTTCATGATGTTTACCCCGATGAAGAGGAACAGGGACAGGTTATTTTGTGTGAGAGATGAGGAAGGAACAGGAGCAGAAACTGAAAGATAGGGAGGAAGGAGAGGCACAAGGAGGAGTGGGCCCACAAGGCTAGAGTCATGAGTAGGGTGGGGGCACTGGGAGAGCAGAGGCTGAAATCTCAGGTGAGGGAGAAATTGTGAAAAGCCCTGACAGTTTGAGTTAAACAATTCAAATTTTGCTTAGTGTGGTGATATGCACCTGGAGTCCCATGTAATTGGGAGACAGAGGCAGGAGGATCACTTGAGCCCCATGAGTTTGAGACCAGTCTGGTCAACATGGTGAGAACCAATATTTAAGGAAAAAAAAAAGCAAATTTTATTCTAATAACATTGAATATTTTTGAGTATGGAAAAATGCATGGTGCTAGTGTCTTTTCAGGAGGATTCTGGGCTACGAAGGGCAGCCTGAAGGGGGTGAACTTCTTGTGAGGACAGGCTATTTAGAAAAAGTCATGAAGAAACTAAGGACCTAAGTCAAGGCAATGGCAATAGTGATGGAGAGGAAGGAACAGAAGCAAGTGAGCTTGCCAAGGAATCAGCAGGATTTGGTGAATGATTGGATTTGTGAGATAGAGAAAGGCATCAAGCTGGACACTGGCATTTTGTGCTAGTTTGCCAGGAGA